AGGATTTGGGTTGGGCCAGTCTGGAGGAAAGGAGGACTTGGGGGGGGGGCATGACAGCCTCTTCCAGTATTTGGGGGGCTGCCCCAAAGAAGAGGTGGGGGCACCTATCCTCCGAAGCCCCTGAATGAAGGACAAGAAGCAACGGGTGGAAACCCACCAAGGAGAGAAGCAACCTGGAATTAAAGGAGAAACTTCCTAAGAGGGAGGACAACTAACCAGGGGAACCGCTTGCCACCAGAAATTGTGGGTGCTCCAACATTGGAGGTTTTTAAAAGAAGGAACTGGGCAGTCATTTGTCTGGAATGGCTCAGGGTCTCCTGCTTGAGCAGGGGGCTGGACTAGACGACCTCTAAGGTCCCTTTCCAGCTCTATTCCGATCAACTGATTTGTCAGTAGGCCTGTTGGGTTTTCCCTGGAGAATTTCCACCTTGGGCTTTTTCCAGGTTGCTCTGCAGCCTCTCCCTCCTGCCTTCGGGGGTGGGGGGTGGGGAGGATTGTGTGTGTGTGCGTGCGTGTGTGTTTTTCCCTTTCCTGCCAATTCAGCCCGGCCTCTTAGAAGAAGAGAGGCTTAGGGAAGGAAAGGTCATCGCGATGGAAAGCTTCCCAGCTGCGCAGCCGGCCATGAGATCTTCCTTCCTTCCTTTGGCCGCTCGGACGTTTTTCTCTGACCTTGGAGATCCACGGGAGGCGGTGCAAACGAAATCCAATTTATTTATTATTATTATTATTATTATTTTTGCAAACCAACTAACTCTCCCTCTCCCTTAGGAACCGAAAAATTAACACTGGCTGAAAATAACAATCCTCGAATTACAACTGTTCCGTCGAGCGACCGTTCAAAACTCCCAACCAGGGGTAGGGGGGGGAAGGACTTTAAGACCATTTTCTTTTCACATTTAAAACCGTGGCAGCCACACACACACACACACACACACACACACACACACACACCAACGGCCACGTCCTCAAAATTCAGACACGGCCATGGATTTGTATGTATAGAAGGTACCTTAGAGGTCATCCAATCCAACCCCCCCCTGCTCAGGCAGGAGACCCTGTTCCATTTGAGATAAATATGTAAATATAATCAGAATAGAGTCGGAAAGAACCTTGGAGGTCATCTAGTCCAACCCCACTGCACGGGCGGGAGACCCTTAACGACCACTGCAATGTTTCCGTCACCCCCTTTGGCGACGTTCGGATGAGCAAACCCAACCTTGGGTGGGCTGGATCCACCGAATAACCTTGGGATTTGCAACCTCCGACTCAATTCGCTTAACGGCGGGTTCGAGGAAGGTCATAAGACGGGGCGAACGTTTACTTCCACGTTCTCTCCCAAGCGGCGGAAACGGCCGTCCGGTGGAGGATTACGCGTATCCAAACTGTTTTGAGAGGCTGGGGGTTGCAAGGGGGCGGGGTTTCCAGCAGCCCCTGAACGAGCAGGAAAGGTCAACCAGGAACAGGTTTAATTTCAGGAACAGTTAACAGAGCATCAAGAGTTGGAAAAGGACCTTGTAAGTCATCTAGTCCAACCCCAGGATGCCTGTCTGTTCCTTTCGACGCCAGGAATACCCCAGGCAAGTTGTGGCTTATTGGCTTATTTCCATTTATTCTCTCCCCACCCACCCCCCTTGGCAACCACTTGAATGGGGAGGGGTCCAGGCCCTTGGTTTTTCTCTCAGCCCAGGAATGCAGGGCGACAGGTCCTATTTGCTGCAGAAGCGCAGGAGGAGGAGGAGGGATGCGTTATGTAACACACACACACGCACATACACAAAGGCACGTTGTTGTGGTTGGCTTCAGAGCAAAGGTTTGCATCCTCCAAAATGGTTTGGTTTGGCTTCCCCGAGGGAGGGTGTGGCAGGCACAGTCGACTTCCTGTTTGGCACTGGCTCTGTGTCTCTGTCTGTCTGTGTGTGTTTTGGAGGAGAAGGTGTGTATTGTTGCATGTTTAATCGGGGTGGGACTTCAACTCCCAGAATTCCTCGGCCGATGGTGTGGAATTCTGGGAGTTGAAGTCCCACCCAGCTTTAAAAAGTTTTTCCAACTTGGAGAAGAAGAAAAAAAAGCCACTCTTAAATGTAGATTAATTCCTCGATCGAACGACTGTTTGTTTAGTGACTTTGTTTGCAACCTCACTGGGAAAAGGGTCTTAGGTCCATTGTTCACACTTAACGACTGTTGGGGCATTTCCCCACGTCAAAATTTGGACGCTCAGCCACTGACTGGTGTTTACGATGGCGGCGTCATCCCTTGGGGTTCTGTGACCCCCTTTGGCGACCTTCTGCAGAGTCAAGGGGGGGGAGGAAGCCGGATTTGCTTAACCACCACGTTACCAACTTAAACAACTGCAGTGATTTATTTAATGACCATGGGAAGAAAGGTCGTAAAATGGGACAAAACTCATTTGACAAACAACAGAAATTAGGGGCTCCTCAATGGACTATCCGTGGAGTGTGGCATAGGATAGGGTAGAAATCTTTCTTCCTTTTCTTTATATACATATATATCTATAAAAGCGAAAGGCCCCTCACACATCATCACAAAATCTCCAGAACCGTAAAGCCGACAAACTTGAAATTTGGCACATTATGTTCCTCTTGGCTTCTAGGGGCTCCCTAAGAAAGGATTTTTCCAAATGACCCTCAGAGCATTTATAGAGTATTTCCTCTACTATTATTATTATTATTATTATTATTATTATTATTATTATTATTATTATTA